CAGCCTTCTGGTTAGCAGTCAAGTGCTTTAGCCACTATGCTACCAGAGCTCCTAAACACAAATTAGGAACTTCAAATTGTACTCAGCAATCATTCACAGCTTTTTTTTTTTTTAATTCCCAACACAGAGGCCAATGAATAGGCCTAATGTTGGAAACTACTATTACAAAACATTTAGTATTTTGACTAATTTTTAAAGGACTTACTTTAGTCTCTTGAGACATTTAATAAACCAATAGATACTCCTAAAAGAACTCTGGTGGTATAGTGGATAAGGCACTTGGCTGCTAACTAGGTCAGCAGTTCAAACCCACCACCTGGTCTATAGGAGGAAGAAGGGCTGCTTGCATAAAGATTTATAGCCTTGGAAACCCAGCGGGGGTTACTATGCGTTGGAATGGACTTGACAGTGAATTTGATTTGGTTTTGGTATTAGATATCCCTAAGTATAAAAATAAATAAAGCTTTTTTCACTTTCAACCAAAAGATTTCAAATCTAGTGATGGCTGGAACAACATGAAGAACAAACTTAATGGCACTGAACGGTACATGTAAAGACTGCTAAAAAAGCAAATGTTTTGTTACCTATATATTTACCACACTTTAAAAAACAAAAAAGATTTCAAGTAAAAAAAAAAGAAGCCTATTTAACACCAAGAGCTCAATCCAGTATGCAGAACAATACGGGACCCAAATAAAGTGAACATTGACTAACAAGTGAACTAAATATAGAGCCCAAATAGCTAGAGACTAAGGGTTTACATAATGTGCTAGCAAACTACAGACAGCTCTTAAGACAGAATCCATAAAGCACAAAGGGAAAGGAAGAAAAACACTTCTCATTGTTGTTAAATAAGATTATGAAATAATTTTTCCAGGGAAAAAAAAAATCATCTAACAGGTAATCTTGTATTTCATTAAATAGAAAAAATATCTGTGGGAGAGCACAGAGGATTCAATAAAAGTGAGAGGATCCTAAAATTTAAGTGCATTATGTTTACTATGTTTATACATACTCTGACATTCTAATTATATACAATATTAAAAAAAAAAACTTGCTACCCCAATCTATTCTGTTTGAACCATATGAAACTCTTCCCAGCATCTGAAGAATTTTGTTGGATCATTAATCACCTATCATTCTCTCAGGTCTTCTAGTAACAATTAAAAAAAAATCAGATGTCTTTGGCATGAAACTGCAGTGGCGATTTCCATTTTGATTGGGCAAATTTAATGTCTAGATTTTAAAAATCTTTTTCAAACCTCAAATCTAAACCTTAACTAAAGCAGTATCCTTCACCAAATACACAGACAAAAATGATTTAATTAGCAGAAATTCAACAATTATTAAATAACCCAAATGTAGCTGCCACCTACCTGTAGTACCGAGATTGTAGATATGTTGAACAAACAGTCTTTGATACGTGACTGGCAGACCCAAAGTCTATTACTTTAACCCTGTATGGCTGCCGAACAGGATCCACCAACATAATATTCTCTGGTTTGAGGTCAGCATGAATTAAACCAAGACTTTTCAATTTTTTCAGTGCAGTGGCCACTTGCTGAAGGATGGGCCGGATTACTTTTAATGGCAGGGGACTGAATTTATTTTGCTTCAGAAAATCATACAAATTTTGTTCCAGCATCTCGAAGACTAAACAAGTATGATTACGGTGCTGAAAGCATTCATAAGCTCTTACAAAGTTATATTCATCAGCATTTTCAGTACTGAGCCTTGCTAATATGCTCACTTCTATTTGACCTTGACGTGCATAAGAAGGATGATTCTTCAAAATTTTGATTGCCACAATTTCATTTGTCCCTCTTTTCCAGCATTTAACTACCTGGCCAAAAGTGCCTCGACCAAGAAAATCTAGGACTTCATAAGTATTTTTCATGGAACATAAGACTTCATGCTGTACTAACTGATAGTCACCTTCTCCAGTGGTACAATTCTGCTTTGATCCTGTGGTAGTTGTCACAACTGTCACTGGATTTCCCATGTTCGTTTGCAACATTGCAGGAAGTATGGACAATTCATCAACAATCTGCATTGCGCTACTATGATTATCCAACTCCTCACTCTTACGCTTCAATCCACATCGCTGGGGGCCTTCTAGTAAATTTAACCTGTGTCGCCAAGCCCCAATCTGAGGTGCCTCCACTTGAGCTTGCTGCGCCTGAGCTATGACCTTTGTAGCACCTGCAGTGTTTTTTAAAACAACAGCACTTGTCTTCAATGAAAAGTTGTGTCCTCGAGGTCTGTTAAATGGTATCTTTGTCTGAAAAGCACTACCCTTTGTGGGAGGATGAGAACTTCCAAAGTTTCTACCATTCACATAGGTCCGTGGATAGTTTCTTTCCTGGAATACACAACTGCTTGGCTCTACTTTGAGTTTCTTCACACTACAAAAGGCACTTGACTGAGTTTGATAAACATATGGTGGGTAGACCAAGACTTGTGAGGCCATACCTGAAAAAGAAAATATTAACAAAAAATAAGTTTTAAAAAATTTAAATCTCATCAAGAAAACTTTCAAGGGTTAAGTCCATAATCTGTGAAAATATAATTAAACAACATTAAAAGATGTTTCCCTTTGAGAAGGTACATACTTCTAATATCTCCATTTCAGTTATTCAGTGCTTTTGTTATTACATAAAAGGTTGAGAATAGAGAGTTTAAAGGACATTTAATGAATTAATAATATTTACTGACCAGCTCCAATCCAGTGAGAAAGACAGGTCATAGAAACTATGCCAATCATTTTCCCCAAAAAAGAAAGTTATATAGATGCTTAACAATCACATTTTGCAAAAGTACCACATTCTATCACCAAACTAAAATTTATGAACCAGTGACAAAAAGAGAACATAAAAATTAAATAAGCAAAGTTTATAGGTATAGTCTTTTAAAACTTAAAGCTCAAATTAATTACCTCAAGAAAAAAATATACTTGCTTTTAAATTTCTAAAATATATGTTGGCAAGGCTTTTAGATTAAATGAGGATGCCTATATCATGAACAGCTGAGCTGATCCTACATTCTACTAACTGTATTATTATCCTTCAATATTAAAAAAAGGCAAGTTAATGGTTTTCTACCTAGTAACAGATATGTAGAAAATTTTTTAACATATATGTTCTCTCTTCTCAACATGTCTTATTATATGGATATTCCTTTGACCTCCCTCCAAATAATAGTCATTGCTGTAGCTGTTGTTAGTTACCATCAAATCAATTCTAACTCATACCAATCCCATGTACATAGAGTAGAATCACTCCACAAGGTATTTAAGGCTGTGACCTTTTAGAAGCAGATCACCAAGCCTGTCTTCCGAGGCACCTCTGGATAGGATTGAACCACCAACCTTTCAGTTAGTTGTCAGTGCTTAACCATTTGTGCCACCCAGGAACTCTTAACAGTCATTAGTATACTTATATTTGAAAACTAGATTATTTAAAAAATATTCTGAAGTTCTGAAAGACAAGTGACATTCTATTTATTTGACTGCATTTTATCCCTGCATCTAAAAAGATGTAAGGTTATTGTAAACAAAATTTCAAATAATCTAGATACACAACCATTAAGTGCACAATGATTTTGCAAATAATATTTAACTGACTTAACACAAATATAAAAAAGGAACTATTATACTGTCATACCAAGGTCCTACTTGATTTTCTTCCCTACAACAAGCCTTATTTTAACAATTTAGAATTTCCATATGAAATCAATCCAGCAACTATACACCATTGTGTTGTTGTTGTTGGGTGTCACTGCATAATTTTCTAATCATAGAGACACCACACTATAAAGTCTGAACAATGTGGGAGGAAATTGGCTTCCCTGCAGCCCAACCCCCTAAATTCCAATAAATCCTATTATAGGGAGCCATGGTGGTTCAGCTGCTGAAAAGTTGGCAGTTGGATCACCACCACCCCCAGTGGTTCCATGGGAAAAAGACCTTGTGAGCTGCTTCTATAAAAATTACAGCCAAGAAAATGCTACATTGCAGACCTACTCTGTCATATGGGGTCGCTATGAGTCACCATGACCTACGTCCTACGTATAGGAACTCAATCGTTAAAAAAGCAAACAAATGAGACAAAGTGTATGTGAACTGCTGTATGGAAAGCGAATTTGCTCTGTAAATTTTCACCCAAATCACTATTTAAATAAACACACACAGTTCAAAAAAAATAATAAAATAACAACAAATCCTGAGTACCATACTACAGAAACTAAAGTTACAAAGGTATTCAATCTACCACTCACCTATTTGGTCTGTAAATGTCAAAACAATCACTTGATAGAATAGCACTTTAAATAACACTCTATTTGTTTACACAAAATTATCCTGGAATCTGTCATGGTGATATCCTTATTCAAATGATCAACTGTAATACTGTAATAAGATAAGATGATAGGTGCTTTGCATGATATTCTAATTAATGTCCTCCTTATCCAACCTTGAACACTTAGCAAACTCCCTTAGGTTCAGATGAAGGCAATGTAATACCTTCTTGCTGAAACACACACACTCACCACTCACCCTCCAGGCAGAACTGGGCATTCAGCGCCCACCATTTATTTATTTATTTAATGCTACTCATTTAACATTACCTCTCTCACTCCTCCTCTTTCACTTTGGTGAAGGTATGACATCATTTTTCTGGGGATTTAAAAAAAAAAAACATGCTTATCTAATAACATGAAGCTTTGCTTGAATCATTGCTTTAAAAATATCTTTGGCTGTCTTTCTCACCATAAACCAACTGAAGACAAACAGTGTGTTGAAAAATAGGTTTTTATTTCCACATTCAGTGTAAGAAAATATACAAGATTTATGTAATTTTGTAGTATAAAAGTGAATAGGTTGTGAGGGACTATTTCAAAAGATCTATAAATCTGAGTGCCGAGATGATGGAGGAGAAATTGGGATGAGTCACTAGAGTCACTGGTGGACTAGCTACAAGAACATTTTCTCCAGGAATATAGCAAATGCTCAACTAAGCTATATCATCTTTCTCTTTTTATGTCACTTAATATAGGATGTCCCTTAATGAAGAGAATGGGCACCAGAAATGTTACATCTAAAAGCGCTAGTTCTGCTGCACAGCAACAGGATACCTAACGTAGTGCGGGAATACAATGGTACTCAAACCACAATAAATATTTGCATATATGGGAAATGATAAGGGAGGAAGATCCCCATCAATTCCTCAACATACTTCTCCTGAGTCTTACAGCCCCAATACAGATATTTCTACCCATTTAAGAGGTCAGTATAAACCAAAAAACCAAACCCACTGCTGTCAAGTGGATTCTGACTCATAGAGACTCCCATTGGGTTTCTGAAGTGGTAAATCTTTATGGGAAGTAGATTGCCTGGTCTTCTTTCCATGGAGTGGCTGGTGGGTTTGAACTGCCAACCTTCTGATTAGCAGTCAAATATAGTTATTTATTATTGACAGTCAAAGACAGAAAGCAAAAGTCAATGGCAAAATATAATGTTAGAAAGAAATGGTTTACAGTAGAATGTCAGTTAGCGGAAAAGGTAATGCTATCAAGTTATTAAGTTCTCTCTTTAAATCAGTGAAATGTTTGTTTTTTAACTGTGATTTGGGTGAAAGTTTACAGAGCAAATTCATCTTCCATACAGCAGTTCACATACACTTTGTCTCATGACATTGACTCCAATTTCCCATAATGCAACAGCTCTCTTCCTACTTCTTCCCCATAGTTACCAATTCCCTGTGTCCTTCCCTCCCATGCACTCTTGCCCTCTCAGCTGTCTCCCTGTGCATACACAGGGAGCCCTTCTATTCTCTCATGATTGATCTCTCCAAGGGGTGTATCTACCTAATATAAATGTTCAGGTCATATGCCTGTCTTTTGTTTGGGTGGAAGCCACAGGAATGGGTTCAAGTCCAGACCTGAAGGGCAGCTGGGGGCCATAGTCTCAGGGGTTTTACCAGGCTCTATCAGAGCAGCAAATCTGGTCCTTTTCTTTTTTTTTCTTCATGATTTTGAGTTTTGTTCCACATTGTTCTCCTACTTTATCCAATATTTCCTACAGAGATCCCCCTCCAAATGGTTGACAGTGGTAGCTGGGCACCATCTAGTTCTTTTAGTCTCATAGTGATACAGGCTGAGGATTACATGGTATACCTGAATTTTTCTAATTAGCATCCACTACATTACATTATAATTGTCAGTGTGCACATATGTCTTTCCCAATAGATCTGAAATAAAGTGCCTAGGATATAGAGTTGGTGTTCAATTAATGTTGGTTAGCTGAATTAATTTCAAAATACCCCCATTTTCACAAATAAAGAATGTTGTTGTTGTTGTTGTTAAATGCTATCAAGTCAGACCCGACTCATAGCGACCCCTCCTTGGGTTTCCAAGGCAGTATCACTACGGAAGTAGGTTGCCCTATCTTGCTTCCGAGGAATGGCTGGTGGGTTTGAATTTCCAGCCTTCTGGTTAGCAGTCAAGTGCCTTAGACACTATGCTACCAGAGCTCCCTATTTTACTTTATATATATATAAAATGATGTCAGTCTGTTGTTTCTGAGTTAAAGAACTGATGTTTGTGAAAGCTAAACAAATTCTTCCTTCCAAATTATCATACCAGCAACATAAACAATATTGACAACCACAGCCATGAGTCTGATCATGGCTGACCACAATGAAATGTTTCTTTCTTTTTTAATTACACATAATATGAGGTCTTGTTGGAAAAGTGAGGGAGGGAAGAGAGAGAAATGCTGTACTAACTTACAGTTACTTTATCACCCAATATAAAAATTATGAATCATTTTCTCCCTAAATCCTACCCATATATAATGTGGGTTCCTCTTTTAAATGTTCTCTGACACTTCAAATAGATTTAATAAACGTTTTTGTTGGTGGTATTACATTCGTTTTTTAAAAAACAACAATGCTTTGCTTTTTCTTTACACAACTTTCCTCAGTTGTTTAAATCTCCACTTTTTTAATCTAATTCTATCTTAATAAATATGGGCTATAATAATTCCCAGAAGTTGATGTCACCAGTAGCCATAACAAATAACTGTCCATTCTTTCATTTGGGCTACTGATAAAGAACATTGAACATTATATCTAAGACTAGGCTCCACGGAAACCCACATATTGGCTGGACATTCTCAGCACTCCCCAGTTTTTTCAGGCTTCCACTGAAAAGTAGAGAACTCATTAAATTGTTAAAAAGATCAAGTTTTAAAATAAGATACAAATATGTGAATGTGACAACTAGCAGTAAAAATTTTTAAAGATCTGCTAGAAGAAATAATAAGTAAAACAAAAGCTTTTTAAAAAAAAAAAGAGAAATTATCATTTTTACCTAAAGAATAACCCAGGGTGATAAAAGATTAATTCATAATATACAAGGGTAAAAGATCAAAGAATTAAATTTATAGCCAATAGTCCACAATTTAAATGAATAAT